ATATGCTGTCGCGGACTTTTTTTTGAACTGTTTAAGAGATACGTTTTCACTCTACATTAAATTCATGTAACTTATATTGTTTTTGCAGTGCAGGCTAAAATGGCTCGATGATGAGAGATCTTTTTCCGTCATTCGTGTCACTTGTTGTTATATTTTGGCCAAATTCCCTAAATAACTACATAAATTATTATCAATATGTTATTATTATGAATGAGCTATATTAATGTTAAGTTTAATTAAAATCCATTTAGTATTTTTTGAGAGAAATAGTAACAAAGATCCATACAAACGTAAAATTGAAATTAAAAGCGTAAGTGGTTGATATACAAATTTACATCTAATCGTTGTAGATCCTAAACAATCACATAAAATGAAAAACGGTGTAGGAAACCTAAATATGATTTTCGATTATCTCGACAATGATACCCCACTCAACATAATTTCGTCAACTTATTTTTGAAGTTATACTTCTTTAGGCGCGTTATGAAAAAATGATGAGAGTGAAATTTTAAGATGCGCGCGCATCACTGTAACACAAAATTTTAACAGCATGAAGTTGGTCGCTTTAGCAACCAACTTCATGCTGTTACTTTTGTGTTTATCGCACATTAAGAAAATCTACCAACAAAATAGAAATAGAATCTCTATTTAGTGGGTGCTAACGACTGCATTGTGAAGGCCTATCAAAAGTATTTATTAATCTGGAACAACGGACCCAAAGCGCGATTCAGGAGACTACAGCGCCATCTCTTGACCATTGGTGTAGTAGAACCAAAAACCACATCTTTATTTTTTGTAATAAAGTAACAGTTATAGGTATTCAATTTATAATATCAAAAGTATTTATTAATCTGGAACAACGGAACCAAAGCGCGATTCAGGATACTACAGCGCCATCTCTTGACCATTGGTGTAGTAGAACCAAAAACCACATCTTTATTTTAGGTATTCATATTTATAATATTTATCCACATGTTTCTAGTTTGTATATTCGGAATACGTGTTTGAGTTTCATACAAGTGCAAATACATATGTTCTAATAAATTATATTCAGTAGCGATTTTAATTGAATATTTTGATTATTTATTTATTTTTTCAAATTGAAACTGAACTTCATTGACTGTGTCCTTTTCCAGACTTCTTATTAATTTATTGTAATTAATTATTTGCATGCAATTAAAAACTAATTTTAAACGATGCCAAAGAAGGATAACTTCTCACGCGCCTACATAAGTACACGCACCCATTTTTTTTTAATTCGTCACAGTATGGAGCCTAGTTGTCGCTATATTTTTTTGAGTACTATAATTTCTTTAGTAACACTTCCATGATTAAGACAAATCGATTGACGTATTCATCATCAAAATCGGTCCACGCGTTTGGTCTCTACTGTGCCACAAAGGAAGATACATATTCAAATAGACTAACACTATAACCTGTCTGCGCGTTGCACTTTGCGCTCTTGCATTGCGCAGTCGGGTAAAAAAAGCACTCTAACGATTAAGACTGCCGGAGGTTCATGATTTTATCTCCAATATATTTCTTTCAGTGTATTCGTTCTGCTGTCTTGTATACGAGTGCGTGACAGTTCGTAAAACAAAAAAAAATGAAAGATGACCATCCTGGGAATGTAACCCGTGCTTTGCTAAAACTGACGATCTTATTAACACATGGTTTACACTTACACAAAAAATAATATCAAAATTTTACTATAAAAATACTAGCAAAGGACGCTGGTTCGATCCAGCCTATTTTTCTAGCAAAAGTTTCGTTACATAGAAAAATCTTAGCAGTCCGATGCCTAAATTTTTTTTTATAACTCTTATATAAGTTTATGTGTAAATAAATGAGTGACACGCCTTAGCATTATTATTTTACCAGGTACAAAGAATTTGGTACAAATTAAGTAGGTACATTTAACAAAAGTCACTCATAAAGCGTAAATATAGCGCAAGTGTCGTGTTCCATGAAACTCCGATCAGTAAATAGATATGTCGTTATTTGTCAATGTGTTGCCAGCTTTATTACTAATTTGATATTGTTAACTTGGACCGTTCGAGCCAATCTCTTGGGCACCATTCTTCATCTCTGCAGCTGCAATCATGGATAAAATGTTTCATCACTGAGTTGTTACGCTATTCATTTCATTTAAATTGTTGTATGCTTTTATAATAAAAGTATAAATAACAAAACAGTAACGTGCTAGGGGTATTATTTTATGATTACCGTGTGAGTAAACACACTATAGTTTTTAAATCTAAAGAAAATTATGCTAGAAAAAATTCAACGTAGTCCAGGCAGCAACCCTTCACTTCACTGTAGGCTTGTTGAAAATATATCGATGTATCGATATATCGATATTTTTTGTTCGATATATTGATATTTTTTGCCGATATATATTTTGATTCGATATATCGATACATCGATACAAAATAACCAATATCGAAATTCGTATCAAAAACGATACTTTTTTAATTATTAGCGGCATATCACGATCTAACTAAATTCGTATCTGGAAAAATCGTAACTGGATCTCAGATTAATGATATTCAACATATCTATGATCTGTGCTGTATTTAGTATTGTCTATTATTTGTAAATCTGTTTCGCTGGTGAATTGGTTGTGCTGATTTCCATTATATTCTGTGAAGTGTGTGACTGTCTAGTCTTGTTTACGAAAGAGACCCTGCAATCATTTACCTGAGAGGCCCTGCAATAATTTTCATCATTCGAAAATAGGGTCTATTTTTAGGGATATAATTTTCGTTCCATTAATATTCCGCATGTCATATTTCGTGAGACACTGTACGATATTTTTGGGAAAATTGGTCCGATATATCGATGTTTTTTTCGCGATATATCGAAGCCGATATTGATATTTTTTAAAAGATCGAAGTATCGATATATCGATGTTTTTTTCAACTTTCGACATCCCTACTTCACTGACCAATCATGCTATCGTATCGAATTTATTCTAATATTAATTAGGCTGCAAGGCAGCATCATCTCTTCGCATTGTCAGTGGTCAGTGTTCTACTTAGATTTAGACATCAAGCAGTTAAATACTTAAAAAAAAATGAAATTATTTTTCATCAAACTGATTACATGATCTTAATCTCTTTTTCTATAACTTATGCTATGACTTGTTATTTTTGACAACTTTTACTGATCTATCAAGTTGCATTGAGCCTAATTTTTTTTACGGTGAACGTAGAACACTCCACATTCCCCTTAATGGAGTTTTGCAATATTTTTATGCGAGCTGCAGCAACGTGTGCTACGTTTTACGTATGGAGCGAGGCTATTGACCAAAATGTAGTGTTCAATATAAAAAAAACTTACCTACACATACTTTGCAGCATATTTTTAAAGTGAAACTTTTATTTCATCACCACATTTTTTTTCGTTTATCTTTAGCATGTCACATTACATATTTAATTGATATTAAAAAAATCAGGCCTTATTAACAAGCCTCTGTGGCTCAGTGGTGGAAAGCACGCCTGCTACGCGGGCAGTCGGTTCGATTTTCAGACAAGACAGGCCTTTTTTATTAATGATATTAGAAGTTCTACTTGCATCATGGTTTCATAAACCCACACCATTTTTTTATAATTTTATGTAACAGGCTGTGCGACAAAATGAGGGGGAGGACAAAATTTCGAAACATTTATAAAGCTAATTTTACAAAATTAATAAGATGAAATTTGAGCGTAAACTTAATTTAGCAAAATGAAAGCAGAAGCTGACTGAGACATTTTATTACAAAGAAACAGTATTTGCAGTAAGTATACTATTTTGTAAGATAAGTTCATAATCGGAAAGTTTTTTTGTAACTTAATTTTAGAATTTATTCACTTGCATGGTTCTCTTTGGTCGACAAGAAAAATAACAAGTACCTTTAAAATTTTGCTGTAGTAAGTAATAAAAATATTCAGTAGATTAATTTCTTTTCTGAAGAGAAGTCTGCTCAGTCAAACCTAAATAAGTTGTCCGCCGTAGTCCTGGAAGCGGGCGCGATAACAGCACCGCATCAACATTAAATATTAACCGACTTTGTATGAAGGTGTCAGTTAATGACACGTTAACGTTAACTAGAATTTGTAATAAAGGGAAACACAGCTGTACGGGAACGTTCCCGAGTTATGTCCCGCGCGAGACAGGCGCCCGATTAAAAATGCAGCACTTCAAAACGAGGAGGAATCGACACCGGTGACGCTGGCGCACACGCCGCCAGTGCCGCCAACACCACACCACAGGGTGGTCGTTTCCAGGACTAACAGGGAAACTTTACTTCGCCATTGACCTCTTGACAGTGACTGTGATCCGTGAAAGTTTTGAACCATCGAAACTCGACGCCCACCCTCTTCTTCTAACTGCAAAAGCTTTTTCTATATACACCTGTAAGTATACTAAGCTAATGATCGGTTTCAAATATATTCAGACTACTCGAAATGGAACGAAATCCAGACCTAGTCAACAAATTGGGACATTAACATCGGACACGGCGCTACTTATTTTTAAATCGGGATAAAATCGATCGCCGCTGACTGACATCCATGCATTAGAAACGCTAGCAGTGCGAGACAGAGCGCTGCAAACTTCAGTATTTTATTTACGTGGGGAGCGGCAATAGCAGTGCCGGTTCTATTTTCGCACTATATCGTTTATTATGAGGGCCGAGTAGTAGCATGGCCGCGCGTCCCGTAGGCCACTCTACCGCCTGATATTATATTCTGGAGCACGGCGCCTCGGCTCGTGCCAGATATTTCGAGTGTTGCTTCTGCCACCTATGAATTTACCTAGTCTCAGTCACAGAATACTCCCGGTGCAGCCGCCCGCATCGCTTAATAAACCTCTAAGCGAAGTCATAAAATATATTTCTCGGGTAAACGGGGTTAGTTGCGTGTTTCGTGAGCGCGTCTCACACGTGAACGACGATAGGAAATAAAGCTCGGTGTTGCCTTGACATTTCATTCACGTTTATGTTTTGAAACAGTGCGTGCTTCGTCTGTCCGAATGCCATATTTAACGGTAAAGAGAATTTAATTACAAATTGTAATAGAAATAAAACTATACATTATGATACCATTACAAGATTTATTCTAATTAATAAATTGATGTTTTGTGGACTTTATCTAATAAATTAAATGATTAGTTTGGTACACACACAAAAGGCCTGATTCAGATATGATTTATAAACTTAATAATAAATTTAACAGATGGTCTCCTTATAGCATTAAAAACCTGCCAAGTACCGTGCCACGCGCAGTGTAGGGTTTCGTAGTTGCCTGTAGTTACCATCATATATTTAATTTTGAGCAGGAGTCTTTATTTTCTGTATCGTAAATTAGAAAAACCAATTAATATCAATCTATTTATCTCAACTAAAATAGGTACCTACCTAAATCAAAGTCAAACTGCATCTGAAACTCAAATACAATTCGTTTTTTTTTTCTAAATACGAATGATAACAGCATTTTTTTTTTGTTTTCTCCCAGCGGAGCGAGTGTGAAATCCTCATGAATACCCTACAGCCGGCTGCAAGGTTATGTCAGACTCTTATTGACTAAAACTACTTACGATCATCCCCTGATAAGGGGATGGTGCAGTATAACCGCCGATCTTTTTAAGTGCTTATATACTTTTTATAAAAACGTAACGTCAGAAGGCGTTGCCGTTGGTACACGCGGTAGCGTTGTGGAACTAATGATATTTTATTGTGGTTTTTGTTGCAATGCAAGGTTTTACGCTACAATAACTTCATCTAAGTCACTATTAAAGTTTTCTCCTAAGGAATTTTCAATAGGTAAGAAATTTTCTTTAACCAAAGTTGAACGACTTTTACTCATAAACTAACAAATCTATCTTTACCGTTATAATTTTCGTTGAAATTTCATCAAAAGCACTATTATCATAAAATTTTCCAGTTAATTTTACTTTTTCCTCAAATTTAAGTAACAGTAACTAGATTTTTATATATATATATATCACCATCATCGCGGACCAGGCAGCAAACGGGACTCGAACCCGCAGCCTTCGCTTTCGGGGCGAATGTACTGACCATTATGCTACTACGACGCTGATAGCCGTGTCAAATTCTTTCTAGCCTTTCCTAAGCTGCAAGGCAGCGCCGCAGCAGGGCAGTTACATGCTTAAAAAATCAAAATTATAACTTAATCATTAGTCAATAATCGTTTGCTTAGTACAACCTACCTACCCAATGATTAAGAGGTCACCATCTCTGAAATTCCAAGTTCGATCCCCTGTTGTTGAATGTTGCTGTTAGTCTTTTTATCAAAATGGCTGTATAATACAAGTCCTTTTAAACATCCAATTTTTCGCGTGCCTATTATCTACTTATAACTGCAATAAACGTTTTTATTTCTTATGTTTTCACGCACACCTTTCATTAAATTAATCGTTCTCAATAGTAGTCTCTTGAGAATGGAGCATATAATGGTGTCCACTCAACATAATGCCGCTTATAGTACAAGTGACATGATAAAATATGCTTGATTAAGCTAAAATCCTTTCATCGTTTGGCATATCCTTCCAAAATGTCTTCCCATACACGTTCAGTTTGGCTTAATCAAGTCGATTTGACCAAGCCACTTGATCAAGCGGCAGGATGGTGAGTGGCCACCATAAAGGATCCGAAACGTAGAAAAATGTATGAAAGTACTAAAAATTACATTTGAAACCAGTTAAAAAAGTGTTTTATACAATAATGTTTTCAATTCACTAGTAACGCAGTTTCTTTATTGTTATTATTGCAATACAAACTTCATTTGAATGGTGTGAACGCAACACACAATTTCCATGCTTAGGTATTTGTCTGTGTTTGTGTTTTATTGATTTTAGGCTACAAAATGCTCAAACCTATCTAGGGAATCCTAAACTAACATTATTCAGCTATAAATAAATATATAAATGCATCTCTCCGATGGTCGATCGCTATTCGTCTCACACACACTTTGTAGCACACGACCCTATTGTATTGACATGAAAAGCTCCATGACAAAGCCTTATAGTGCATCATCTAACATAGGTTGAAACATGTATAGAAACTTGTTTTTTTTTTCTTATACTAGGTACTTCTCTAATTTCCATTTAATATCTGGAAGATTATAAAAAATACGTGTTCGATAGCTTAGTGTCTTCTTTATGTGTATTTCTCAATAAAAATCGGATATTCAGATTGTAGAATATTATTCAAAGTTAAATACAGATCTTATAAAATTATTTGCATACGTTGCCTTTTTCGAATTCGAATCGCAAACGGGTGCGCGAGAGGGAATCTATATAAAACTAATGAATGAGGAATGGACGATGATGATGGACCGATTGTAGATTCTCTCGTCGAAAGATGGCGTTAACAATATTCATGAATTATTTTTATATTATAGGTCCAAAAAAAATATTTCAAAATAGGTGACAACTCTAATGCAATTTCGTGCATTATTAAATTTGTTAGCTGACCCTTAATTGATCGTTAAATATTAGTGTATATCAATCCATTAGCTAGTTAGTCAATAAATTTTACCCTAACAGTTACTGAAAACCACCAAAAGCTAATGTCATTTTACTCCATTCTTCATAAAGGTAGAGGCTAATTCATCAGACGTGTATTCCAATTCGATAAAAAAACACGCTATGTCCTCTCTTTAAGGTATAATTGAAAACACAAAATCTACTTACATAATTTTATTGCTCAGAGCGCGTCACCTAACATAAATATTGACGCAGCCACATTCCATCCTAAGACGAAGAACAATTTATGTGCTGTTCAGAATTAATTTCGTCCGATCGAAAAAACTGACACTTAAGCCTCGATGACACGGGGCGAGTTTACAAGCTACAAGCCAGCGAGTTCGCTAGTAGCTTGTAAACTCGCCCCGTATCATCGAGTAGCAGATGGTTAAAAAGCCGATGACACGGGGCGAGTTTACAAGCTGCTAGCAAACTCGCTGGCTTGTAGCTTGTAAACTCACCCGTGTCATCAAGGTTTTACGCCATCCCAATACCATGGCACACACAACAATCCATCAGACGCCACTCTGCTCTCGAATGTAATTAACCGATATAACCACCGGCAAAGAGAAAATAGCTCGCGTCGGTCAGATAGAATACAGACATTGCTCCAACTGGTAAATCAACACAGAACCCAGTATAGATTCACAGTGTTGTTCCTAAAATAACCGGTAAAAGTTCTGCTTTATTTTTGCGTTACCTACTTACGCTGAAAGTCCATTTCGTTGCATGAATCGATAGGATTTTCAGACAGTTTGGGTCTATCTTTTGAGGTTGACTCACTATAACCTTAATCCTCGAATTTACGCGGGTGGAACAGAGCTATATATAGTAACAAATAAGTTAATTTTACTCTTTCCTCAAATTTAAGTAACAGTATCTAGATTTTTATATATCTACATAATATATTATACCTAAGTGCAATTATATATAAAACTAGCGGTCCGCCCTCGCTTCGCTTCGGTGTAGAGCTGAAGTGTAGACTACAGTTTTTGTTCTCAGGCTTGTATTATACACAATGACATTCATCTATGATTCTTCTTATACCTGCATGCAGTCTCAGCCCGATCGGTTCAAAATTGACAAAGTTTCATACAAACTTTCATTCCCTATTTTATCCCCTTGGGGGTAGAATTGATCAAAATCCTTTCTTAGCGGATGCCTACGTCATAACATCTACCTGCATGTCAAATTTCAGCCCGATCCGTCCAGTGGTTTGGGCTGTGCGTTGATAGATCACTATGTCAGTCAGTCACCTTTGACTTTTATATACATACTAGCTGACCCAGCGAACTTCGTACCGCCCTAAAAAAATAGGGGTTGTCCAGCGGACAAAATTGTGAATCTAAACCATTCTCAGATCCCCTTGAACACACACCAAAAATTTCATCAAAATCGGTCCAGTCGTTTAAGAGAAGTTCAGTGACATACACACTCACAGAAGAATTATATATATATAAAGATATAGATAAAACGGTCATTTTATTACCTGTATTTATAATCAAACTAAAATTCTCATATTTTCGTTTTCCAGTACTCATTTTCTACACGTTTTACATGATTTATTTGCTAATTTTGTTTACAAATGTTTGGTTTTTATTCTAAGATAAGCACGGTTTCTTAATATCAATTATTGTCTGTCCATATGGTCCAACGCTCTGAACGCATCAACAGTCAAATATTGAATGAAGCTCGCTTTCTTTTTTTTTTGTTTCCTCCCAGGCGGGCGAGCGTGTGTGAAATCCTCATGAATCCTACAGCCGGCTGTAGGGTTATGTCAGACTCTTACTGACTAAAACACACCCATGGGGGATGCCTATGGCCTTAGGGGCCATACAGGCTTCATCTGATGCGATCAACCCCTGAGAAGGGGATGATGCATCCGTATCGGTTTAGGACAGAGCGACTGAAGGTCTCTCAGGATCGGGGGGGGGAAGCTCGCTTTCGGACCTCCCGCCTTTTTATACCCTACCGCCGCCGCGACCCGTGTCGAGCGCGGCAACCGTTACACAAAAATAATCCTTATAGCATGATTCAGTATTCACGTGCGACGGCGCGATGGCTTATTTCATGTATAACTTTGGTGTTTCTATACCGATTTCTATGATTCTCTTTTTATTGAATAGGTAATAATGTTAACTTTTTTAAATTAGGGATGAGTGAGATTATTATAAACGTAAGAGTAAACAAATATAATCAGAATGCTCCGAACTGCTAAGCTATCAGGAGTTATACGTGTTATTGTGAGTCAACCATAAAAGATAGACATATGCTGTTGCGGGATATTTTTTAGACAATTTTATGTAGAATATTTCCGTTATACATGATTTCTATGTAACTTTAACCATTAAGGCTGCACACGCGACGGAAGCTTAAAAAATGGAGTAACTTCTCCCGTTTTCCCAACATTTCCCTTCACTACTCTGCTCCTATTGATTGTAGCGTGATGAAAAGTATACTATAACCTGCCCAGGAGTATGAAGAATAATTGTACCAAGTTTCGTTAAAATCCGTCGAGTAGTTTTTGTTTCTATAAGGAACATACACACAGACAGACAGACAGACAAAAATTTTACTGATTGCATTTTTGGCATCAGTATCGATCACTAATCACGCCCTGATAGTTAGTTATTTTGAAAATATATTTCATGTACAGAATTGACCTCTCTACAGATTTATTATAAGTATAGATAAAAACATTTAAGGCAAAATTATTTGCAATCAAAGTTTAATAAATACCTAGTGCAGACAATAGTTTAATCAGTTTATTAAGTTTTTAACAGCTTTAACCTTAACATGTAATATAAAAAACTAGTGGCCCGCCCTCGCTTTGCTTCGGTGTAGAGCTATAGTGTAGACTAAAGTGTATATTCAAAGGATTGTATTATACACAATGACTTTCTTCATAATAATTATAAACCTTCCATTCCAAGTAAAAAATTCGTTGCGTAGTTTAGGACCCGTTGTAACGAATGCAACATTGTTCTGCTGTACCGATTTGAAAAATTCTTTTTGTATTGGACAGTTCATTCATCGAGGAAGGCTATAGGTTATATTATCAGGCTACGACCAGCAGCAGCGGAGCATCGATGAAAAATGTTGTAAAAACGGGTAAAAATATGCCATTTGTGTGATTCCGTTGCGTGCGCTGGGTAAACGGTTAAAGTTATACAAAAATCATATATGACGGAATTCTTCCCCTTTAATAGTTATATAAAAAAAAGTCCACGACAGCCTATGTCTATATTTTAAATTTGACTCACTATAAACCTCTTTCTTCAAACTAACGCGGGTAAAACCGCAGGGGACCTCTAGTTGTGACATAACTGTAATAGTTAGACATATGGTATCGCGGACTTTCTTGTAGATATTGGTATCCTCTATAAAACTTTAGTACATCTCTTTGCTCTATTATCAATGACTTCCGCAGCGTACGCGATATAAGGCTATTTTTTGGTATTTTTTTACACACGTTGGGTTACATTATCGAAGTTTTCATACGGAACCCTAACTATTTTGAAAAAACACTATAGCCTATATTAATCAGTGATAATGTAGCATTCAAATGATGAAAGAATTTTTTAAATCTTTCCAGTACTTTTCGAGCCAATTCGTTACAAATATACTACACAAACAAATTTTTCTCCTTTTTATTATTATAATAAATAATAATAATAATAAAGCATAGATTACAATCCTTATTTGGTGAGTTGATTGCTCACAAGTCAACAACCTACGAGTACTATTGTTTAATTTAATAAGCGCATTTCTCCTATTAGAGGTATTTTGCAGGCCTCTTTAATATTAGGTCCTCACATATGAAATTGGCGTTTTATGCGAGATGAATACAAGTTTTTTTTTGTAAAATATATTTAATTTATATAAAGTATGCACCGTTGTTATCTTTCCACTTTTGCCATCTCATATATAGTTCATTGATCTCTTAACTAAAAAAACCATGGGGGCGAGAATAAATAAACTCTTGAAGGCGGTTTGGACTGCCGCATCGGAGTTGAATTGTTTTCCTTGTAAAACGTTGCCCAAATTCCGGATAAAATGGTAATCTGTTGGAGCAAGGTCCAGGGAGTACGGTGAATGTCGCAGACATTCCAATAGGGAAGATGCATATATAATATTTATGAAAATTTTATGATTAAAATGTTAAAAAAATATAAAAGAAATGCCACTGCAACGTTTTTATTTTACATAATGTTGTTTTTTAACAATTATTACGAATTAAAAATACTTGAAACGGAACGTATTTTAAAACACCAATCAGCGTTTAGTGACGTCACTCCTGTAATGACAACTTCTTTGAGGTTATGGTTGTTAAAGTAAATATTATTTTATGGGAATATTTATTGCGTTTTTACATTTAATTAAAAATTGAAGTTGCGTTTATCAAAGCAGACTCCAGGAATTTACCAAGAGTTAGCGTTGACATGGTTATAACTTTTTTTGTCCAAAGTGCAGAGTTTTTAAGCAAATGAAATGAAAGGGACTATATTACTACGGTATGTAAAAATCGTAGTTTATTCGTATTTTATTCAGCGGCTTCTACAAATCTTACGGCGATAATGCAATCGGCTATGTCCAAATAAAAAGAGATGGAAAATTATGTACAGTAAAAGGTCGAGTTCTCCAGAGCATATACTACGTAAAGAAGGTTATCGTGTTACAGTTATTTTAAATGAAACGCAAAGCTTGGTTCAGTCCTGCCAATGTGAAGATTGTGCCACACATTTTAAACTTTATCTAATTTTCGACGTCATTCTCCAACTGTAAAATTAAAAATATGTTATAGACAGGTTTTGTAAGTATTAGGTAGGTTACTAATGCGTTTTTACGTACAAGCAGATTAATTAAGCATATAACAAGTATATTCGCCAACTTACATCAAAGAGATCTTCTCAGCATCGAATAATGGTCTTTGGAGAATAATTGTCATTTCTCTTAGCAGCTTGAAACCACTTTTTTCAGTTTTGGGTCAGAAGTTCCAGTCATAAACAATTTATTTGGGAACTTTGTTGAAGTAGATTGGCACAAAACATGAGTCAACACGGCTTTTTTTCGGAATATTAGTGGTATTGTTATTTTCACTTGATGTTAATGGATAGTCCATTTTAAATTTTTCAAAAAAATATTTCGACAGTCGAAAAAATATGCAAAAGTATGAAAATTTAAACCCAGCAACGAACAATTACGACCAGTGACAGACAGGAGTGACGTCATCGCAATCATAGGTTCGTTTTCGCGCGAAAATTTAAATTGTCAATTTAAAACCGCATTTTTTCCGATAAATCACAATGTTTTAATTTTTTAATATATCTGTGGTTTGTTCTACATGGAATTCTTTAAAATGAAAACAGAAATAAAAATATTGCATCTTCCCTATTGTAGCTCATCTAAGTGGTTGTTTGTTGTGCAGTATGTGGTCTTGCGTTGTCGTGAAGCAGCAGTGACCTAGAGCAATTGAACAATCTCGATTGTTTAGCGGCTAGTTCTTCCTTCATGATTTGCAGTTGCTGATAATAGATATCTGCCATAATAGTTTGGCCAGATTTTAGAAAACTGTAGTGAACGACACCGGCGCTAGTCCACCAAAAACTCACAAGTAACTTTTTCTGAGTCAATTTTCGATTAGGGCAGGATTTGGCTGGGTCTCCAGGGTTCAGCCATTGCGACGAGCGCTGCCAATCATCGTGCAGTATCCGTTTTTCGTCACAAGTAATGATTCGATTTAAAATTCCTTCATTATTGTGTCGGTCGAGCAAAGTAACACAGCAGTCGACGCGTGTTTGCAAGTTCGACTCACTCAATTCATGAGGTAGCCATCGTTCAAGTTTTTTTACTTTTCCGATTTGCTTCAAGTGGATTAATACTGTTTTGTCACTTACCCCGAAGCCTGCAGATATCTCTGAAGTGCTTTGTGATGCATCTGCTTCTACAATAGCCTTTAATTCTTCATTTTACATTTTGATCTCCGGCCGTCCACGGGGTTGTTTCTGAAGGTCGAAATTTCTAGAAGGAAAACGTTAAAACCAAAAATGTATTCTTTTGCGACACCAGTGCCGTACACATCATTAATCCTTCGATCTGTTTCTGCAGCACTGGTGCCAAGGTAGAACTCGTACTCGTAAATATACCAATATTTCATGTTTTCCATTGTGCAGTAAAAAATAATGAGGAAAAAACAAATGAATGATTATTTTCAAAACTCACATGTACCAGCTAAATGAATTTATAAATTTGAATTTGAAATTCTTAACCAAAGAGAAGATATTTCAGATCAAAGTGGTCAGTACAACAAAACGCTCATTTCATATGTAAGGACCTAATATATTCATTAAGAGCACGCCGCCGCCGCCGTTCCTTGGCACACAGAATTTTGTCCTTTAAATCTGTGTCACTCTTTTGTTGGTCTGAATCTTAATTAATAAGAAGTAAATAATAAACAACATACACATTTATATAGGTAAACTGTATTACTTCTATATTATAAACATATTCTCCATGTGGGAATCAAATCCGACGCCTGCTTGATCCAGGCGTAAGCCTTGATCCTCAGGTGTCGGCTGAAGTGGCTGTCTTATCCAATAGAGTAATTTTATTGCCAGGATCAATGTACCTACTCCGGTACTATATCACTCAGAAAATTACAATAATTAGGTCCTGGTATTTCGGTCATAATCGGTTCATCTTCAATTTCGGATTCAATTAAATCTTAAATTATGTATAACATTATAACAGTAATACTTTTCGAGAAAAACACCAGAACGCACCAGAAACCTAAATGCAACAAATAACATAAACCTATTGTTAAGTTACTTTGCTTTTCTAGAACTAACACCGTAATCTTTGCTTAAATACGTTTTTATTATTACAGTTTTGAGTGAGGAAATGTTTGACTTTGTGCCCCCAGACACTAGCTCGGCTTGGCGGCACTCGGATATATATCAGAGATATCGGTTTTACATAAGTTTTGCTCTGACGTTTATACCTTTGCGATCAGGAACAAAAGATTCGTATCTGAAATATTTTAGAACAGTGCAGCCGTTTTATATTTCTTTTTGTAGTATTGTTTTCAATGTTTATTTCTTCTTTCCTTTGGCTTTTCTAAAATTAATCTACAATAAAATAATTATGGTATGTGGTGTGCTGATGTACTGAATTAAATAGGAAAAATAAAACCGTAACGGCAAGATTAACAATATCTATCCGTGCTAATCCTTTTCTTCCTTGCAGGTTGACAACAAATACCAATAAACAATTGAGGTAGCATCGTGACATGAGCGTAGAGGATCGAAGCGCGAGTACCAACACTGGTGCTATATTCGGATGGCTTTCCACCCCTACAGGAGAACCTCCACCCGCCGCCGCAACTTGTAACGAAGGCCAAAAACCAGCATGCTTACCCGCAGTCCTTTTCAGGGGTTGGAGAAGAACTTGCCTATACATAATAATTGTAATATTGATGATTCTAGTTTTTCTTAACATCGCACTTACCTTATGGATTATAAGCGCACTTCGACTAACTATGGTGAGATTTGTTTTTACTCTTTGATAGAATAAATAATTATAGTAATCAATGATGAAGGCGTGTATTCTTAAAATCAACATTCTATATAGGTATCGATGTGTCGTGCTCCACTCTATGGCATTAAAACTATGCGAGTTATAAGTAGAGATGGAACGACAAATGACGATAATAATCACGATATATATAAATTCAACTTGAATATGTAGTGCAAACTGGACTAGAAACGAAAGAAAAACGAATTTCACCAACTGCTATCTTATCAACAGAGACAGTAAAATATTATTAAGAAATCAATATTGATGTAATTATTAAACTTCTGTTGTGCTAGTTTGTAAGAACCAATACTCATCGGCGAATTCCGCGGTGAAAAGTTTGTTCTTACAGAATAGCACTGCTGTAAGCTAGCAACCTGTCACTATATCAAAGAATAAAATAAAAAATAAATAAATGACTTATTTGTTTCTTAGGTTTTCACGCACATCACTCATTAAATAAATCTAGTTTTTACGGGTTAATGCACGAAACTTTATTTATTTATTGACGTTTCGCAGCCTTTTCAGGTCTGCATCGTCAGAATAATGATTTTTTATTTAAAATTGTAGAGCTACCTTCGAAAGACTTATATTGAGCGTTCGGTTATTTCATTGGAAGATTTTTAAAATTTTATTGTCTATGTATGAATTTATTATTTAATTTACATAATAAAGTATTTTATTTAAAATTCTTGTTTGTAATTTTGAGTTTATTTATTTGACCCTAACTACCGTAAACTACCACCGGTTCCAAAATTGGGAGACCTTCCTGAGAAGAACCGGCGAAACAAACTCAAGAGAGGCTTTCTATCTCCTTCTTATGTTAAATTATGCAAACAAAAAGAGCTAATAGTATCTGATGGTCTTGCAGTGTGTGCTCGGGGTTGGGATTTTATCTCCTGTATAATAGGTTCCCAAGCTGGTGGTATATACCAACCATCTTCCCTATTGAATTTTGGATATTTTTTAATCTCAATAGCCTCGCGCATCATTCGAGGAACGAACCGCCGCTCAGCTGCAAGGATGTGTGGTCTATCAAATCTAATGTAGTGGTATACGACCGACAACCTGCTATACTACCTTACATGAAAGGAGTCACTGACAAGATTGGGAGGATTCTGAAGCGTGCTTCAATCAATACATACTTCAAGCCGCCAAAGAAGATCAACCAGTTTCTACGACCGCTCAAGTGCAATATACCCTTTCAAGTTGCTGGTGTCTACAAACTTGAATGCGACTGTGGGCTCTCCTACATCGGGCAAACAAAGAGGAGTATAGGGACTCGGGTAAAAGAACATATCGCAGATATGAAACATAGGCGCGAAAATAAATCTGCAGTGTGTGAACATGCATTAGGGGGACCAAACCACTACATTAGATTTGATAGACCACAGATCCTTGCAGCTGAGCGGCGGTTCGTTCCTCGAATGATGCGCGAGGCTATTGAGATTAAAAAATATCCAAATTTCAATAGGGAAGATGGTTGGTATATACCACCAGCTTGGGAACCTATTATACAGGAGATAAAATCCCAACCCCGAGCACACACTGCAAGACCATCAGATACTATTAGCTCTTTTTGTTTGCATAATTTAACATAAGAAGGAGATAGAAAGCCTCTCTTGAGTTTGTTTCGCCGGTTCTTCTCAGGAAGGTCTCCCAATTTTGGAACCGGTGGTAGTTTACGGTAGTTAGGGTCAAATAAATAAACTCAAAATTACAAACAAGAATTTTAAATAAAATACTTTATTATGTAAATTACATAATAAATTCATACATAGACAATAAAATTTTAAAAATCTTCCAATGAAATAACCGAACGCTCAATATAAGTCTTTCGAAGGTAGCTCGACAATTTTAAATAAAAAATCATTATTCTGACGATACAGACCTGAAAAGGCTGCGAAACGTCAATAAATAAATAAAGTTTCGTGCATTATAAAAACTAGTTTTATTTAAAGAAATGACTTTTTGGCGGGATCGGGAAGCGTCACTTTAGCCGTTTTGTTTTTCTTGTTAAAAATTGTGTTGTGGCGGATGTTAGTGTCTAATAATGGTGGATTATTAACCACTAAGTGTTCGGGAACGTGTACAAGTGTTGGCAAGTGAAACAAAATAGCGGAAAGTGTCTTTCGACGTTCCCTCAAGAAGTCCACGAGGAGGTTTTAGTAAATCCCCACACTTTTACTGAAACATAGGGAAAGGGGGATTGACTTGACTGCCACTTACTTTGACTTGATTTATTACTTTGACCACGAGTGCTTATAGTATATGTAAACTTTTTAACACTTGACATTGGCTAAATGCACAAGCCGTGCGAAGCCATTTAGAAAATAAAATGAATATTTCCAAAACACACACCAATTAGCCTAGCCCCAAAGTAAGCACTGTATTATGGGATGCTAGGGTAACGGATAGAATACAATGACATGTACTGTACATACATAATTATATTTATATAGAAATACATATTAAACATCCATGACTGGAGTACAAATGCTCGTATTCATCACATAAACATCTGCCCCCACCGGGATTCGAACCCGGGTCTTCTCGAGTTGGCGACACCATGAAACCCGGCGTACAAACCACTCGACCACGGAGGTCGTTATATTATTTTATTTCTTACATGATATTAAATTATCTCTTTTTCCAGAATGGAATTGGTCCTATAAGAATAGTGAAAAATGGAATACAATTAAACAGCCATGCTTGGTTCGTAGACAGCCTAGTTGCATCCACAATAACGTCGCAGCCCGCTCAGCCTGTCACTATACGCTCCCACCGCAATTTCACCGTGCTAGTTTCCGAGCACACATTTGGAAACAACAAGAGCTTACAACAATCGGAAGTTGCTAAGCTATTAATCAGTTAGTACCAACAAAGAACTTGTTTTGAATAAAGAAAGTTTTATAGTAGAGTCAGGTATAATAGAACTTGTATAATGAACTTTTACTTAGTTCTGCCAACCATTTTAGCATCCGTGATAATCTAAAAATGTCTTGCTAATGAGATGCTCTTGTTGCTAATTATAAAGTTTGATTTGGCTGTATACTTCGTCTTTGCAAAGTACACAAATCAAAATAACAACCGTGGGATTAGGTATGTATTCTTTACCAGAAGAACGCATCTCAATCATAGGGATTGAGATGCTTATCTAAAGGATTTTAATCTTAAGCAACATCTTAGGCAACGAACAAGGAGTCAGCGCGTTAACACAGCGCAACTTTCGCAATGACCGGTTAAAATGGGTTAAACCATGGTTGGCCAAACTTTTGTTACCTCGAGTTCCTTCGTACTTCTGAAGGCACGTGAAGCCGTTGGACCTGGGTACATCAGTATTCTTTGGCTTCCACCGATCATCGATCACCAATGGCCAGCACGGGGGGTCATACGACGTTCTCCTTCAAGGGATTGCCTATGTCCTAGCAGTGGACATTGGATGATGATGGTCTATTCTACTACCTTCCTTTTTTAACTTCTACCTATTGTCTGTTATTCCAAAGGAGACGGTTCAAAACTGGTAGTCGGTTTCCGGCAGCGATGAAACATATACGAGTATCATTTTAAGTGGCTTATGTAATAACATGAACAGATATTTATATGTTTTTATTTATCACCGATTAATTTTAAATCGTGTTTGAAAATTTAACAATTTACAACGTAAGGACGCTGGCATAAGTAACGTTATATTTTTAGTCTGTAGCAGTTTATTAACGTCAACTCAATCATTGTAAAATATCAATCAGTCAAGTCATGCCCGATATTCGTGAAATCGTAATGAAATTATTATACCAATTTTTGTTTTTCTTAAAATTCAATACCCACAAAATACCTAATAGCATAATAAGATATGCACGGAATCATTATCACTGCTTTAGTTACCTATTGAATAAAATATATATGATGTTGTGGCAACAAACATTACATAAATAAACTTGCCACTTGCCAATCAATAACTATGTCATTTAAAATATATATTTTTTTAAACGGGCATAAAATAAATTCTAGTTTTTTGTCAAACAATTGACAATTAAGTGCATTACATATCATAAAAATTTGGAGTCTGCCGGAGACTGACTACCACCCACCATACTTTGAACCGTGTCCTTTAGATATTTATAGATACGTGAAATTAATTTATCACTCTTGCAGAGAGGGACAGCGTGGAGTGCAGCGGTCGCACATTCGATGTGCGCGACCACCGTGGAGGCGGCGTGTTCTACGCGTCGCGGGACGAGGTGCGCGTGTTCTCTGACGCGCTCGCGGTGGACGGCCCCGGCGGCGTCACCGTACAGAACGCCATACAAGCGCCTTCCATCAGAGCACCACCTGGCTCCGATCTGCAGTATGCTTCCTCATTTTCATTTGAAAAATAGTGTAGTGCATTAGAAGCGTCCTGTTTTCGCGTCAAATTTGTTTTTGGAGCAAATAAAATGGGCTTAATTCACGCGGGACGAGGTGCGCGTGTTCTCTGAAGCGCTCGCTGTGGACGGCCCCGGCGGCGTCACCGTGCAGAACGCCATACAAGCACCTTCCAGCAGAGCACCACCTGGCTCCGATCTGCAGTATGCTTCCTCATTTTCATTTAAAAAGTAGTGTAGTGCATCAGTAGCGCCTGTTTTCGCTTCAAAGTTGTTTTTGGCACAAAAAAATGGGCCTAATGCACGTTCGAAATACGCGACTACCGTGGAGTTGATCTGTTCCCCGCGTCGCGGGACGAGGTGCGCATGTTCTCTGACGCGCTCGCGGAGTTGGCCCCGGCGGCGCCACCGTACAGAACGCCATACAAGCGCCTACCATCAGAGCACCACCTGGCTCCGATCTGCAGTATGCTTCCTCATTTTGATTTGAAAAGTAGTGTAGTGCATTAGAAGCAAACGTTCCGAGTGCGCGACCACCGTGGTGGCGGTTTGTTGCACGCGTCGCGGGACGTGCAAATTAATATATTTACTTTTCACATTAGTTTTGTATTTTTTTCATGTTAAAAGGGTGGCAAACAAGCATAGCCTGGCCAGCCTGATGGTAAGCGACCAGCATAGCCTACGAACGCTAACGATAAAAAAATATTATTAGCGCCGTTGCCTTGATCCTATCCCTTACTCCGTGGTGCCCTAAAAGCTTACTTACTGACAGAAACACAACAACACCCAAAGGGAGAGTTCTTTTATTGTAGTCTTCCGTAAGGTGGATTACTTTCCCAGAAGGGCGCTCCAATTCGAACGGAAAATCCGCTATGACGTATTATTGGTATTTGAGACTTTCAGAACAATTATTTGACCGAAACAATTTGTTAATTATTTATTATTAGGTTGGAATCGTTGACTAGAAACCTCAGTTTGAGAGCCCCGAAGTTCATTCATCTGGAGAGCAGAGCGGGCAATATCGACGTCACCGCACACAGAGACATCAAATTCGCATCCGACGTTGGTGCTGTAAGTGCGCAGATGGGTTTTCTGAATTTAACACTACGGCCACAACGACACTTACGAACTTATTAATAAACGAAGAGTAAGCTTGCATGGATTACAGTAGACCCGCGGTAATGCAGCAAACGTTTTGCAGGTCGATGTCGGATTATCTAATTTGTCGGATTAAAGAGTACTGTACGACCGCTCTCTATAGTCCGGATTTTTTTGAAGAATCTTGAAATCCGAACAAATTACAAATCATTAAAGTTTATTTCAATTGATTTTATCTGTATAGGCGTGTCGGATTACAGGGGGTGTCGGATTAGACCAGGTCCGGATTATTGCGGGTCTACTGTAGTTACTCCATCGCGAATTTGTTAATCCTTTCCGTGTTGCTCTATGACTAAAATTCATGTACATATTTTAAGTATACATTTCGAACATAATTTTTATTTATTATTTAAAGTGCTCTAGCAAGAATCTACCAAACAGAAATTTGTAATAATGCAATTTGTAGAGTTAATTTTACAGTCAAAGTAAATTCATATTAAGTCTATTTCATACTTTCGTCTCTTTTGCAGATCAGAATTGAAGCTCAAAATATCATCATCAGTGACCTTAAAAAAGCAAATACTACAACGAAACCACAAAAAAATGTAAGAACTATGAAGATATACCAGTTGTGCGCATGCGCCTCCGGAAAACTATTTCTCGCCGCACCAGATGGAATTTGTACTTCGAATGACGATGAACTATGTCGATGAAAAAAGATTCAAATTTGCGATACTCAAACTGGCCAAACCTATAAAATGGAAGATTTAAAATGGTTGCAGTTCCAGTTAGGTAGACAAGGGCTATTATGACTTAGCATTAGTAACTGCGAGTCATGATTATAAATCACTCCATCACCATCATTAACAGTTTTCTCACTGCTGGGGTCCATTACTTAGATGGATTTCTATATAAAAAAACGCAACCCACAACACGAACACACATAACAAGGACCATAGGCTTTGTTGCGCTACTTTCAAGCACGGCGGAAGAAGTCTTGGTTCCCATCTAATGAATGGCTTTTTGGAAACAAACGCCAACCAAAGACGCTGTATTCAAATAATACTCCAGCTTCGCCTTAAATGTCATTGGTACATATCATCAAATGGAGTTCGTGCTATTAATTTTATTTCTAGACCCATCTTCAGATCAGATTGGTTTGAAAACATTTTATTTATATGGTTACAACAGCATTTATAGATAAAATAGTAAAAAAAATATATTAGATACAGGTAGAAATCTAACATATGCCATAGGAAATGAATAGAACATGAATACAATGATACTGGGAACCTTAAAAAATTATGTGAAAAATAATCATCACACAATTATTATTGAAAGGGGTGTAGGATGTACTTACCTTATAATTATGTAATAAATTGATTTTAATATATTGATAGAAATTTTAGTAATTAAATAGACTTTAAAATATTTTCTAAGCAACGAATATAATAATATTGTTCTAAAACACCATACACCCAAATGAACTGAAAAAAGTGCCAAACTGATGTTTTTGTGTTATTGCACTAAGCACATTGCACAATAATTATATTTTAGTGCATATTAAATTTTAAATGAAGTTTCAAGGTTGTGTTTCATTTTGTATAGTGTGATATCTTCTTTTATGGTTTTTAAGTTGCATACCCAAAGGGTGTTAAACGGAACACTACTAATATGCTGCCGCTGTCTGTCTGTCACAAGCATCTCTGAAAAGGAAATAGGTATTACTGTGGCCGCTATCATAACTAATAATTAAAATAAAATAACCGGGGCGCCATATGTAGAACGTGAGCTTTTCGACTTGTTTTCCTTGATCTGATTTTAAATTATTGTTATATGGTGTTATTGGTATTAAATATTTATTTTAAACGTCCATGTCGCACACGATGTCTTTGCTTACATTTGTAGTTATGGTAAGTAATTCATTGTAAAAACTTGCGTAGGTACACATATTTCTGGCAGTCGTTTCGTTGCCAAATGAACTGACGACAGATCTTCCATTTTATTATTGTTTCGACGACGGGAACTTTCAACTGCAGAACAATGCGACAACAAAATATTTCTGTCAACTATATAAAATTAAAACACATTAACACGAATATAACTTTATTTTTACCCATCTTAAAGTTTAACATCTGCAAATTTAATGTAATATGTAATGAAGGTTTTATTTTCATAATAAGTCAGCAGTGTACTTATTGAGTATTACAAAATCCATTTTTAGGGTTCCGTAGACAAATGGAAACAACGGAATACTTATGGATTCGTCATCTCTGTCTGTCTGTCTGTCCGTCCATATGTTTCAGCCACTTTTTTCCGAACTATAGGAACTATACTATTGAAACTTGGTTAGCAGATATACCCCTAAATGATAAAACTAAAAATAAACTATACATTACCACGCAAACTTCCACCGAAAATTGGTTTTGCTACATAGCCTTCATTTGGCCGCACGCACTTGGCCGCTTTCTTATGGTACCTTTTACTTTTTATGCTGAATTAAACTGCATAATTATTTATCTACATAGATCATTTGCATCCTAAAATTTGTTGCTAATCGGTATTAAATTTTTAAAAAGGAAAATAACTCTAACTATATAGATACTAATACCTTATTTACTATCTACAACTAACAATTCACAATGAAGAACAAAAACACCTTGGTCAACCTCGATCCGTACTGGGTCTAGGGAGGTCCAGGGCAATCAATCTTCTTGGCGGTCCACCCAGTTTACCGTCTGAACTAGTGTTACCAGTACTTAACTTTAACTCAGTATCTTTTACGGTAGTAAATTTGAAACTAATACCTCCTTATTAAAAACAAGGAATAAGCCTTAGGGTAGTTACGCCGTGTTTTGACCATGTCATTCAAATGCCATTTGTCATTCAATGAACAGAGACAAGCTTATTTTTCGTTTATTAATAAGGGGGTTAGTGTAGAAAACTTAAAGTCTGAACTTTCATATAGATAAACTTTCTACCTTAAATATGCTTTAAGATCTGGCTCAAAAATAATAGTTACTAAATATGAAATTATATTAGAAATAAAGAAGTTTTGCTAGGAATGGAACTGGTAACGCAGTTAAGTACCAGATTAGTAAGAGAATGTTCTACGAAACTGTTAGTTTTGCAATCTTATTAATACTTATGTACCAAAAATATTTTTTAAATAATATCCATGTATTTTTCGTTAGAAACAAGAGTGTTTTTACAGTAGAGCTACGGCCCAGGGCGGCAGACTGCGAGGGGCAGCAAAAGCCATATAAATCATTCGTTACTGACCTATATTTTTATGAGTTTTACTAATTCTGGGGGGCAAATTTTAAATGGCCCGGGGGTAGGTTATTTTGGTGCTAGTTACATACAGCTCAGGTATTAAGTTTCGATTTAATCTAGTAACGATATATTTTCTCCACTGCATTTATAAACACTATGGCTGTGATACCGAAGCTAATTGAAACCGCAAACGCCAACTTTTTCCAATACCTATTTCATGTGACAGCTTGTACACATTCATTTGAGTACTTGTTTATACGCTGAATAAAAACATTATTGATCCATCTATACTAATGTCATAGAGTAGTAAATGTGTCTGTCCGTCTCCCTGATACCTCTTGACGCTTAAATCGCTGAACCGATTGATATGAAATTTGATATAGAGATAGTTTCAGTCCCAGGAAACGACACAAGATAGTCAGAAATCATCTTTCAATGGGGTGAAAAGGGGAGTAGAAGTTTAAATAGGAAACACAGGATTGCATATCTGTGGACGATATTTACAACAGGTTAATGGAAACTGTCCACGAAGTGGGGTCTAAGTTGTATAAGACCCATAAAACTAAAGGGTATTAAAAAGGTTCTCCGAGCACACTCTCAGACTCATGAGTGAAAGGCAAAATATGAGACACCAGTCTTCAACGGATGCGGCAGTTTACCGACTTATATATAATAGGCAGATCTCCAAATCACAGTCACGCGACCTTAGGTTATTTGATACCGAAAGGATTACAGATACCATTAAGAACAACAGAGGTACAAAATTGTTCGCGAGAGATCTGCCTGGCGGACAAAATCAGCTGACGCGGCTGAATACCAGAAACGGTAGTCTCATCACCTCGAAGCCTGACTTTTTTGGGAAGTCGAGAACTTCTATGGACAGTTGTACACCTCAACACAGAAACCTGTTGCTAATTTCTGACCGTTCAGTCCACACACTCTAGGCAAGGGGCCCCAACGGACGCCAACCACTGGTCCTTAGAGCCTTTGAAAAGGTCGCACTATTTTTATTTAATTAAAGTTAATGCGCATGTGTTTTGTCAAAACGTCAGTCACGTCACGTTTTCATTTTAATTGACTGCGTTAACTTTTAGTTTTTTTTTTTCTTAAATAAAATATTTCTTTCTAAAATAAAAGTAGCCTAAGTTACTCCTTATTACATCAGCTACCTGCCAATAAAAGTCCCGTTAAAATCGGTCCAGCCATTTCAGAGATTAGCCAGACAGACAAAAATTGTAAAAAAAAAAATTTGGTGTATAGAACGTATATACACTTCTGGACACATCTATTGGCCCACCTTAGAGTTTAGGTTTCGATGGCCCCTACCGAAATATGATTGCTAGATTGAACAAAAATTGTTGATGCAATTTTTAAACCTGATACATTTTACCATCTTTTTCGATCGTATTGTTTTAAATTTGAATTCAGAATACCATACGACATGGAACTACGCCTAACAAGTCGGATATGCGCCTTGTTAAAGGCAATTGATTTTTGAATAAAAAACATGTTTTATCAAATAAAGGTTTAATTTAATAACGCGTGTTGCCTCCATGGGCATCTACCACAGCTCTCATATGATTAGGCATAGAGTTTATCAACCGCTCTATGAAATTTTGAGGGATCATCTCCCATTCCTCTTCTATGGCAGTTTTCAACTCCTGCATCGTCTGGGCAACTGGCTGACGAGCCCTAACACGTCTTATTAGCTCGTCCCACATGTGCTCAATGGGGTTCATTCTGGGCTTCTGGCTGGCCAGTCCATAACTGTGATGTTCACATTCCGAAGATATTCCCTGACGATGCCGGCCGCATGGGCTCTTGCATTATCATGCATAAAAAGGAAATTTCGGCCCACATAGTCTGCGTATGGTCGATGCTCACGTGAGGTTCTAAGCACTCACGAATGTACCTTTCAGCATTTAATGTTGGCAGTCGTGGTCCTGTAATAACCTCAAGTTGAGTTTTGCCGCTCGCGGATATACCGCCCCAGGCAGTCCATGAGCCACCGCCATAAGCAACCCTCTCTTCAAAGCAGCATTGTGCGAAACGCTCTACCTTACGTCGGTAGACCTTCTTCCTTCCATCATTCATCATCAATCTTGCTGTGTCCAATTTAAATGACTGCGTGCGAAATGAAGGCTGTTCGGTGGGCTCGCGTTAGTTTCGGCCCATTAGCTGGCTTGTGTGGTACCATATCGCGTTCTTTTAACCTTCTCCGAACAGTTCGAGCGCTCACAGATACTCCGTGGAAGTCGCGAATTTATTTTTGTATTTCAATGGAGGTAAGGTGACGATTTCTCAAGCTGGTCGTCACGATGAATCGATCCTGCCTTTCAGTTGTGACCCGAGATCGTGGCCTTCCTTGGCGACGAACAAAGCCGCCCGTCTCTAGGTACCTCCGATAAACATTTCGGACCGCAGATCGACTTAAATTAAGTTGAGCACTCACGTTTCTTTGGCTGTGTCCGGCCTGAATAAGTGTCACAGCTTGGGCGGCGACTTCAGGTGAAGTATCCATAGATTATTAATAGAACCTCACCTTAATGTTAAGAATAAGTAATGTTTGTTGCAAAACCAAAGATATCAATCACTTTTTAAGAATTAAATCCAAGTAAGCCAATAAAACCAAGTTTTCTTAGTATTCGATTGTTTGATATCAACAAACAGTCTCTTTTGTTTCTTTAAATTCTGTGTTCGAAATTCAAAAAAAGACTATTGAATGAAATTGTGAATGTGCCAGGTTCAAAACTGCATAAAAACTTTTTGCTCGACCTAATATAAAATTTTAGCTAGGACCAAACGAAACTGAAAATACAAGGTGGGCCAATAGATGTGTCCAGAAGTGTATATTCATATGCATGTAGTAAAAAGCGGTTATTTCAATATTACAAACAGACACTCCAATTTTAGTTATGTGTATAGATTTATTAGTAACTTTTTAATGTATTACCTACATTTATTTTAATTTCTGGAGCGAGTGTGTGTGTGTGAAATCGATATATGTATCTAGTTCTGATTTCACAACGGGCGCCAAACACTTGGCATAAGCACTAGACACCTATTTTGCTTATCGGTTGAAC